CCCCCCCCCCTCTTTTCCTTGCCGCATGAATGAGGAAACCCCAGTGTCTTAAAAAGCAGCATTTTGTGCCCAGCCCCTGTGCTTTGGGGTGTTCCTCGTGCACAAGGTGTGCTGGAGGATGCCCTATGGGGGTGGGGACCTAACTTGGATCTTTACATGAAGCTTCTGCTCTGTGTGGGCCGGGAATGTGGCTCGGAGGATAAATGCTGCAATACCTGGGGTGTGAGAAGACCTGCACCGATAAGATTGCTTAAAAGCCAGTCAAGTTTTTCACTTTCACAAAGCTTTTTCCAAAGTTCTCATAGTAGCTTGTTCCCTATAGAGGACACAGTGTGTGGAAAAGCCCAAATTGAGGGTGGGGGAAAGCTCTGGTGTTTGAACGAGTTTGTGTTCATGCGCTTTTGACATTCCTGAGCACTGGCACGTGTTGACAGCACAGCAGTGTGTAGGTACCTGCACTTCCACGGCTTGCGTGCCTTAAAGAAAAATGATGCTTTCCTGAGCAGAGGGTGAGAGAGTGATGTTGCCCTGTTTGCAAGATGGTTCATGTCAGTGCTCCTGCCGGCACGTAGAAGGTGCCTTGAGAGCCAACCAAAGGCTTGGGTGAATACAGTGTGTTGGCAAAGCTTCGTGCAGGTCCCCCCTCTGGAGGGGATTTATCTGTGGCTTACAAGGTTCAGAGGCTACAATGAAATGTATCTGCAGTATTCTTCAAGAGATCTGTGGGCAATCCTGTGTGTGAAATCCTGTCAGTGGCTGTATGTAATCAAACAGAATGGTATATCCCTAAGTCCAGCATGTCTGGGTTTAGGCTGGAGCTGCCGGGCACTGTGTGTTGGCCGTCTTGCCCCAGATAACTTCAGAGAAGTTTTGCTTGCAGCTGAATAAAAATTCAACATGAGTAATATAGCATATTAAATATATTATTAATTATATGATAAATTACAAAAGATGGCTTCTGAATAATAAGTAATAAAAACCTGCATAAAAGTTCTGAAAATTGTGAAGGCTGGCTCGGTGCTCTGTAGTGCACAGCCACGCTGCTCTTCCTCACCTGTAACTCCCCATTCCTTCCTGCAGATCTCTGCTCCTTTCTGAAAACTGAGTACTGCTTTCCCCTGCCAAGGATTGGGGGAATTTGGAGCTTGTGCATTTTGCAGTTTCTGTAGACATTTTGGCAAGGGAGAGACAACATAGACAATAAAATCTCTGCCGACAAAAATGTATTTCTTTCTATTCCCCACCGATTCCTCCACTTCCATGCTCTTCTGTGTAGCCAAAGCTCCTTTGTGCCTCTGGTATCTTTGCTGCCACATGCCAGGTTTGTGCATCCTTTATGACCTGTGTTGTTCCCTGCACAGTCCTCTTCTGCCTTGCCCTCATCCTCTGCAAGCAGCTGGGGAGCCAGGGGAGCCCCCCTTTGCCCAAAGCTCAAGAGAGATGAGACCTTGTTTCTCCTTTTGCCAGTCATGTTTTAGCAGCGTTACAGTTCTGTACCCGGAGTGAAGGATTGTTGTGCTCTGAGCACGAGGTGTCTGTGGCTGCTCCTTTTCCCTGCACCCTCATCTTAACCCACCACCACATCAGGACTGGCATCTTCCTTCTGCATACTGTAACGTAACTCTGCTTTATATGCCTGCAGAATAAATTGCCTTTGCTCGATTTGCAACGTGATCCATTCAGTGTTTGCTGGCCTTACCCTCCCCACATTTCCTTTGCATATCAACTGAATGCAACATTTGCTGTTCCACTCCTAAGAGCACCCGGTGTTTCCCCTCTGCTGGTGCATGCACAGGCCCTGGCCTCCAGCCCATACAACAAATGCTGCCAGTGCTCTTGCCCTACCCTCCTTTGATGTCGGGCTGCCCATATTTTTTTCCCTGGTCTGATGCCGCAGTCCGCAGGCTGTCTCGGTCCT